CTACTGAGTAGCATAATGTGTGGGATAGGTTCGAACCTACTACGAACCCAAAGACAGTTGACCCCTCGTGAACGAGTAGCTTATGAGCTCATCTACGATAAAATCCAACGCCAAGGGAGTTTTGGGTCGGTTGCAATTTCGTGGCGCGCGGTAATTTATGTCATGGTGATGCTCCTTAGGAACTTCGTGACTCCATCTGAAAACCTCCAGGGTGACCCTGTATTCACGTTAGAGGAGCGCCGGCAGATAGCTGAGCGGAATGGTTTGGACCAATGCCTCGAGGTGAAGTACGCTGATACTCCCTTAGAATGTGCCAACAGTAAGTGTATCGCTGGGCGCAGTGGATAGCATGTAGTGTGTGCAGCTGGAGCTATACTTAGCGTACTCTAGTCTTGAGTCAGTTTGGAAATTCTGGTCTTTGCAGATAACAACAGTTCGACTCTGGCACCCACAGCAGCGGCTGCGGTAGCTACTAGATTCCCTGGTCTGGGCATGGGTACGTTGCATAAATGGCGTGGTATCGTATCCTGACCTATTTCCCTTAGGACCCGGTGGACCTGCTCGGGGTGGACCCCAGATGGGAGGTGGTACAGCTACCAGTGCTCATTATAGTATGGCTAAGTGGAAGTTAGGCATGGAGGTTATGGGGGTAGGCCCATCCACAGTGTTATGGCGCTCACGAGATGGGACTAGGTACCAGCGGCACAAGTCACCCTCACGGTGCAGCGGACTCTGGCTGGGCTGGGCTTTGTATGGAAAGCTTTGTCACCATGGAAACTGAAGGTTCGACCGGCCTATAACAAAGAGCTGTATGAGCTCTCAGTGAGCGTCTATCGGATGCATCAGCTTAGGTGAGGAGTATTCGAATTAGAATCGAGGCTGGGACGTGTTTGCCTCAGTATCTTCTTGACGTTTCAGTGAGTTGTGGTTCGTTAACAGCAGCAATGGCCGGTGCGATGGACCTCCTATCAGCGCTAGGGGAGATCCTAATCTACCTCATCCCC